CCCCAGCCTCCAGCATCCCCTCACACCATGAGATCCAGTGGGAGCAGTGGCAGCCCTGGCAGCAGCAAGGTGGTGGCCTGAGCCCCGAGCTTGGCGGGCACGGGGACGAGTTTACCAGCTCCCAAGCCTGGCCTCCTATGCAAGTGGAGCAGCCGCAACAGCACTGGCAGGCACCAGGAGTCCTCTTTTTTGAAAATTCAAATATGGTAACACTATCTTTGGGCACTTTTTTGAGTTGTTAAACAACATGGCTGTGTCTACACTGGCACCCTTTTCCATAAAAGGGATGCTAATGAGACACTTCGGAATTGCAAATGCCACGGGGGATTTAAATATCCCCCGCGGCATTTGCATGAACATGGCTGCTGCTTTTTTCCCGCTTGGGGTTTTGCCGGAGAAAAGCGCCAGTCTAGATGGGATCTTGCGAAAAATAAATCCTTTTCCGCAAGATCCCTTATTCCTACTTGAAGGAATAAGGGATCTTCCGGAAAAGGGTTTATTTTCTGCAAGATCCCGTCTAGACTGGCTCTTTTCTCCGGCAAAACCCCGAGCCGGAAAAAAGCGGCAGCCATGTTCATACAAATGCCACGGGGGATATTTAAATCCCCCGCAGTATTTGCAATTCCGAAGTGTCTCATTAGCATCCCTTTTCCGGAAAAGGGTGCCAATGTAGAGCACGGGGACGAGTTTACCAGCTCCCAAGCCTGGCCTCCTATGCAAGTGGAGCAGCCGCAACAGCACTGGCAGGCACCAGGAGTCCTCTTTTTTGAAAATTCAAATATGGTAACACTATCTTTGGGCACTTTTTTGAGTTGTTAAACAACATGGCTGTGTCTACACTGGCACCCTTTTCCATAAAAGGGATGCTAATGAGACACTTCGGAATTGCAAATGCCACGGGGGATTTAAATATCCCCCGCGGCATTTGCATGAACATGGCTGCTGCTTTTTTCCCGCTTGGGGTTTTGCCGGAGAAAAGCGCCAGTCTAGATGGGATCTTGCGAAAAATAAATCCTTTTCCGCAAGATCCCTTATTCCTACTTGAAGGAATAAGGGATCTTCCGGAAAAGGGTTTATTTTCTGCAAGATCCCGTCTAGACTGGCTCTTTTCTCCGGCAAAACCCCGAGCCGGAAAAAAGCGGCAGCCATGTTCATGCAAATGCCGCGGGGGATATTTAAATCCCCCGCGGCATTTGCAATTCCGAAGTGTCTCATTAGCATCCCTTTTACGGAAAAGGGTGCCAGTGTAGACACAGCCCATGAGTTTAGTATGACTTTAATCTGAAATTTTATCCTCTGTGTATTTGAAGTCTGTCATTCATTTCTGACTTAGGCAGAACCTCTTTTGATTTCAGTAGGAGTCTTGCCAAGGAATTGTGTAGTACTGAGTGTGATTCTTGAGAGAGTCACAAAACTGTTTCACACACCAGTCTCTTTAATGAGAGTTCAGTTTGTGTGCCAGTTGTAGGATTAGGCCAATAATTAGCACAGAAGAACTCATACATAGAGCTGGTTAAATCTCAGATGGTGTTTTATCAGAAAGAGCATTTTCATGTATTAAAATATTTTTTCTCTGTTTTTGCAGTTGGAAAGACCTCAAACTATGCCATAGTTCTGGCTCAGCTCTACACGCAGGGTCAATGCAAAGGGTTGCATGCCTTCATTGTACCCATAAGACAGATGGGCACCCATGAGCCCTTGCCAGGTAAGAGTTTACATTGAGGGTTTAGCGCTGTTGGGAAGAAAAGGGAGATAAGTTGTCATGCCATATTGCAAAAATTGTTAAGAACATAAGAATGGCCATACTGGGTCAGACCAAAGGTCCATCCAGCCCAGTATCCTGTCTGCCGACAGTGGTCAATGCCAGGTGTCCCAGAGGGAGTGAATCAAACAAGTAATGATCAAGCGATCTTTCTCCTGCCATCCATCTCCACCCTCTGACAAACAGAGGCTAGGAACACCATTCCTTACCTATACAGGCAGTCCCCGGGTTACGTACAAGATAGGGACTGAAGGTTTGTTCTTAAGTTGAATCTGTATGTAAGTCGGAACTGGCATCCAGATTCAGCCGCTGCTGAAACTGACCACCAGTTCTGACTTACATACAGATTCAACTTAAGAACCCCAAGCGTCCCCAAGTCAGCTGCTG